AGAGAGAGAGAGAGAGAGAGAGAGAGTACACAAGAGACCAAGACCACATTACCAGACTAAAACTAATTGCAAAACAAGGAATATGACCCTAAAATGCACCAAACCTTTACTTCCAAGAACAAACCTGATCAGGTTATCCCTGTTGATATCGGACTCTTTGAAAACATGTTCACGCATCCTCTCCATCTCCTCGTAACGCTCATTGATGTCATCCTCGGGGGCATTGGGATCATACATCTTATCAAGTTCCTTCTTGAAGAGGGCCTTCACCTCCATCTCATCCCAGTAGCCATTGCCATCCAAGTCTACAAGAAAAAAAGACATTTGATTCTAAGCAAGACTATAGCTTACAATTAACTGAACTAATGAAGGAAAAATCAGCTGAGAGCTTGATAAAAAAAAAAAAAAAAAAATCCCCCTATCTCTTCCCCCCTTACTAATCACTTTTACATATTATAAAGAGAATGCAATACATTCCTGCCCACATACCGTAAATTTGTTAGTCGCATACTAATGCGATTTGTGTTAGTATGTGACTAGTGAATTTAACACTAATTAACATACCCTGATCTAATGAACAATGAATTCACCATTAAGAAAAACAACTAGGTACTTACCATGCAGATGGAAGAAAATCTCGGGTTTGAACTCTTCCTTACTCATGTGGTCTTGCTCTTCCCAGACCTGGTGAAGTAAAATGTCATATATACGAAGACCAGCACAGCTAGATATATAAGCATTTTTATCATCCATCTGAAGATGTATGGATATACCCTGACTGAGGATGTGCATACACTCATTTGTGTACACCTTCACAGGCATACCTCTTCCAACTGCTGTTTTGAGGCCGGGTGGTGCAATTTTTCATGTTCTCCATGCTTTTTGATTTCTTCATTGTGTTTCTCTTCTGCTTGCTTGCGGTGTTCATCATCCATGCCCGCTAGTTCCTGCTTCCTTTCAAATTCTTTCTCCATCTCATACTTCTTGAATTCCTCTCGCCTCTGTTGGTCTACCTTCTCCAAGTCTGCTGTGGTCTGACGAGGTGACAATCATTCAGCATTAGTCTTTAATATTCGGAGAAGCAAAAGTACTCTCCAACCCATTTTGAGACCCTCTTCTACTCTATTTAAGTCTATTTTAATCCCTCTACATCTATTACTAGTATATATGTATAAGATTGCAAGAAAGAAAGAATGAAAGAAAGAAAAATCTGCTCTATATACCAAATGACCAAATATTTTCATGTATTAGTACACACATTATCTAATCTTTATTCAGAAAATATTGAATTTATAGATAAGAATTCTTGGCATAATCCCCCCATACATTGTGGAAAAACAGACTAGAACATTTGGTAGTAGGAGGCTGATGCTCACCAATACATGCAATCACTCACCTTGATAATGAGTTTCTTCAAGTCCTCCACTTCAAACCGTGTTGGATTTCGGTGGTCAATGTGGACAGGAATCTTCAGCATGTTCCGGTCCACACCAGTTTCTTTTTCATGTTCCTGGAGATGGAAGAAAGTCTTACTTTCTGAGAAGAAAGTTTTATTCTTTCCAAATACATAATTATCCTTCTGTCAATACAACTTTAATATCTGAACTGGCAATTTATTTTCTTGTTAGTTGGATCCTCATTTTTTTAATGAACAAGGAAAAACTGAGATCATGTAGTGCTTGAGCCATGTTAAAACACAACCTAATCCATATTGATTGAGAAAATGAGGTTATTGTCATATCCATGAGTTTGTTCTTGTTGGATCATAATATGAGTAACACAAACAATATGTCATGTTACAGGACATACAATCAAAATCAACTACAGCAAACAAAAGAACGAAACCCTGACACATGATATGTAAAACTAACAAACTGTTGAATGACACGAGTGAAGTTTCCAAGTCGTATTTTCAGTACATTTCTCCAAAGTATCATACTGCAGCACTAAAGCAAAACCAGAGCCATCTTCTTCACATGACCAATACATTAAGAAATAACTGGGTAAGCAAATGTTTAACATAGCTAACTAAAAGAGAAAGTCCACAAATTAAGCATGACATTGATGAATTCAACCTACTGTACCATAAAACAAAATCCTCAAATCACTGCAGGAGTTCCTAAACATAAAGGAGCAAAACCTTAGTAGATATCAGTATAATGCTTTGTATAAGTGAATTCAAGTGAATTCCAAAAATGCCAGCTTTTAGTTCACTAATCCCAAACATACTGCAGTCTCTATGGTTATGTGAACATCCCATACTAGTCTTGTGCAATGTACTATTCATTCTAGGGCATACCTTGATCTCCAATCCATTACCCACATGTCCATTCTCTGCAGAGCATGCATTACCTTTTGCCATAATTTTGGTTTATAAATATATATATATGGTTTATAAATATATATATATATATATATATATATATATATATATATATATATATATATATATATATATATATATATATAAATGCATATAAACACATATACACCCTTACTACATACACCCACAAGCACACAGAGACATACATACACACACTCACACATATTTAAATATAATTTCTCTCATACATATATAAATAAACTCAGATATGATATGCCTACACATATACATCCTCACATATGTTTAAAATCTAATAACCACAATGTGCAAGTAGTGGGCTGAGTTGCATTCCCGCAAGACAAGTGACTTCCAATCATGCAAAGATACTTTAAACCAAAGCAAAGAACTATACTGAAGACATTAAGCTTGCCCCCAACTAGTGTTCCCCAAAAAATGAACATCACCAGATATGCAACTTCCCTATATAAATGCTCCCCTTCAGTGACATGTCAAAAGTGTAGCCAACATTGCACAACGGAGTCTTTCAGAGACAGCTACCCGCGAAATTGAATTATTACTTTTTATAAGCCCCAAAAATGCACAAGAGAATTAGCTACACTTTCCTGCCTCTGCAACAAAGTTATCTTTATCATCTCACCCTGGACTTCATCTGCAAGGAAACAGATAACCACCTAAACACTGGAGGTAAATTGGTGTGTTTTGAGATAATATATGTGGTTAAAAAATAAAAATCAGAGGTCTCCAATGTAAGCTACTAAATTAAAATCCAAAAAATATTTAAATACAAGTAGTTACCTGTGGAGAGTAACAGAAAAATAAAAATGTTAAGTAGGACTATATGCAACTTCCTAAAAATAGCACATTTGCTCTTTCTTGGTTGGTGGACAGCTATACTGAAAACATAAAAAAAACTTTCAGCTTGTCTACCTTGATGGCCAGGTGACGAAGACGCTCTAGCTCTCTGCGCTTCAACTCATCTAGCTTTGTGCGCACATTGTGGTCGACAAAGTGGAGTTCTCTGGCAATCTTACCAGACTGGAAAAGAAGTGGCATTGTAAAATTCATCCATTAAGAAGTTCAAAGATATTTCAAACTGACTTCAATCAAAAACCATTACTTTTTTCTATGTATTCTTTTGTTATGTATCATATACCAAAAGACAGAATGCTAACCTTAATGTCATCCACTTCGGCAGTCTCTAGTTTTTTCCTGAAGGAAGGATCACTCTCAAGAGCTTGCACCACCTCCTTAAGGTATCGACCATACTCCAAGTTCAGCTCCTAGAAGCATGAAAGGAAATACAATCAATGTTTCAGAGGTCAATCCACTTCTCATTCTCCTAAATGAAAAGCAAGGACTGATTACAAGACTATCATCATCAAGTGGCTCTTTATCATAAACAAAACTTTCTACTGACCCAGTCCTCTCCCTGTTCTTCAGCTTCCTTTTTCTCTTCCTCCTCCTTCTTATGTTCTTCCTTCTTCTCCTTCACCGGGAGGGCGTGGACCAGGGCCCCATATATTAGGGCGAGTGCTAGGAGTAAACTCCACCTCATGCTAAAAAAAGAAAATAATATTGGTTATACAAAACACAGAGAAAAACTGTTGCAAGTAAGCTATTGTCAGCCTTTCTATATATGAAGTATAGATGTATGTATGGATGACTGCATATATATATACATGAATTTATGCATACTTACATGCATGCATGTAAGTATGTATGCATGTGTGTATATATGTATGTATGTATGCATGTATGTATATATGTATGTATGTATGCATGCATGTGTGTATATTTGTATGTATGTATGTATGTATGTATGTATGTATATATGTATGTATGTATGTATGTATGTATGTATGTATGTATGTATGTATGTATGTATGTATGTATGTATGTATGTATGTATGTATGTATGTATGTATGTATGTATATATGTATGTATGTATGTATGTATGTATGTATGTATGTATGTATGTATGTATGTATGTATGTATGTATGTATGCAAGTATACCTGTATGCATGCATGCAAGTATACCTACACGTGTCCATGTATGTATACATATATGTATACATGTATGCATGTCTGTATGTCTGTATGTATGTATGTAGCCTATGTATGCATTATACATATGTATATGAAAATGTATATTACAGTCAGCTGACTTAAATAACTGATGTATGTAAATCATGCATTACAGCAAATGTGTAATAACACTGCCAATACAACAATAACTAAAAATAACAATAGCAGTAGTAGTAGTAGTAGTAGTAGTAGTAGTAGTAGTAGTAGTAGTAGTAGTAGTAGTAGTAGTAAGTAGTAGTAGTAGTAGTAGTAGTTGTTGTTGTTGTACTAGTAGTTGTACTAGTAGTTGTACTAGTAGTAGTTGTACTAGTAGTAGTTGTACTAGTAGTAGTGTACTAGTAGTAGTTGTACTAGTAGTAGTTGTACTAGTAGTACTAGTATTAGTAGTACTAGTATTAGTAGTACTAGTACTAGTAGTACTAGTACTAGTAGTACTAGTACTAGTAGTACTAGTACTAGTAGTACTAGTACTAGTAGTACTAGTACTAGTAGTACTAGTACTAGTAGTACTAGTACTAGTACTAGTAGTACTAGTACTAGTACTAGTAGTACTAGTACTAGTAGTACTAGTACTAGTACTAGTAGTACTAGTACTAGTACTACTAGTACTAGTACTAGTAGTACTAGTACTAGTACTAGTACTAGTACTAGTAGTAGTAGTGATAGTAGTAGTGATAGTAGTGATAGTAGTGATAGTAGTGATAGTAATAGTGATAGTAATAGTGATAGTAATAATGATAGTAATAATGATAGTAATAGTAATAGTAATAGTAATAGTAATAGTAATGACAATGATGCTGGGAGTGCATGTATATTCACTGAGAGTGAGAGAGTAAAAGTGAGAGTAAAAGTGTGAGTGAAAGTAAGAGTGAAAGTGAGAAAAGAAAGAGCAAAGAGAGAGGGAAAGAGAGAGCATTAAAGAGAGAGAGCAGAACAGAGAGAATTACTGAGTAAAAAAGAAAGAGAAAAAGGAGATAAGCAAGAAAAAAAACTGGCAGTAAGACTGTATAACAAAGAGAGAGAGAGCGCTGGGAAGACAGGTAGTAGTGGTAACCCACAGCAAAATTCAGCTCTGACAAGTCACTTTCTGAGCTCCCAGTCACCTCAGTGACTGGCCCATCAAGGTCTCAGTGAAAGCTTTTTTCCATGACTTGCCTTCCTATTTTTTACTGCTATACTGGCGGAGATGAGGAAAATCATTTGCTGCAATTTCCATATGCATATGCAGGGTGTATTTACCTCCTACACATCTCATTTTCAGAAGTGAAATTACTATTTGCAAAAAATAAGAATCAACATTTACTTCTTTTGACCAAGAACAAAATTAAGCAACTGTATTTCATATTTTATTTTTTCGTTTTCTAGAGAACTGGAATATTCAAATATCATACTTTTATCTTTTTACTACATCCCTACCTGAAGAACCTTGCATCAACTTGATATGACCTAACACCTATAAAATTCCATTTAGTCATCCAAATATGAACAAAAATAGCACCACCACTCACTTTCAACTGCTCCCTCTAAGCACTGAATAGTCTAGTTACCATTTTGTTAATAATCACACTAGTCTTATCTTGAAATTCAGTTCCCATTCCTTATAAGTTTAATCTTAATTTAACCCTAACTGGGATGGGTCATGGGAATAAAATTTAATTAAAGGATAATTAGTAACAGCTCTGAATTGATAGAGAGAATTACCTGCCGGAAGACTAGGGACCTTGAATGAAATTAAGGAGTCAGCCACTAAATGTCAAAACACACAGTAACTAATTGAATCTTCTCAGGGGGAGGAATAAAATAAGCACAAAAGTGACATGTGACTCTCTCACTCGATAAGCTCTACCCCATTCTAAAATCTGTTAACACTACACATCAGTTTGCTCTGTTTTCTGTAGCCCCTACTCTGTTGATCCCCACAGCCTTTTATTCTACACTTTATTTTCACATCAAACAATACCACAGCTTTCAAGACAAACTATTCTAAAATCGGCACTAATTAAATTGGCAATACACAATTCTAGAATATAAAAAATCAAGGGATTTTTGAGATTTGATCTCCCTTTAGCTTTAACAAATATTCAACATATATATATATATATATATATATATATAATATTATATATATCAAACATAATCTAATTTTTTTCTATCTATTCCTCTTACTATAATTTATTGAATAAACTAGAGCAAATTCCATGTCTCTTTTTTCTAAACAAAAAAATTCTATAATCCTACAATATATTGAAATTTGGATCTTTACTCATTTCCTCATATATTACAAACATTTGAGTTATATACATATATATATATATATATATATATATATATATATATATATATATATATATATATATGTATATATGTATATATGTATATATGTATTTATAATTAAATTTATTATGTATATTATGTATATATGTATATATGTATATATGTATATATGTATATATGTATATATGTGTATATGTGTATATGTGTATATGTGTATATGTTGTATATGTGTATATGTGTATATGTGTATATGTGTATATGTATATGTATATGTATATGTATGTATATGTATATGTATATGTATATGTATATGTATATGTATATGTATATGTATATGTATATGTATATGTATATGTATATGTATATGTATATGTATATATAAATTTAGGCAAGAAGTTAGTTCCTTGTTCAAAGAGAAATTACTGAAGGGAGTTACGATCTCCTCCTTGCTGATAAGAGCAAGATCCACAGCAGGTTCTTGGGTGTTCCCGAATAATTTACCATAATCATCACTATATAAACTATCTGGTTAGTTCAGGTGATTTCCAGGTATACTGAGTATCTACTACTACATGTGCATGCTGATAAACTTATTTAATATACACAATACTTGGCACCTATTAAAGTATCGCTTCTCATGAAACTCATGAGATAATCAACATATTGTATTACATACACTTGACTGATACTTGAGAAACATCATGATTAAAAATCCTTTATAAATATCAAAACCACATTATATGCAAACATTAAGACCAAATGTTTGTATGCTTTTTTATTCTAAAAGCTATTCACATATGGTTGTAATCATTGAAGTATTACATGATTCACCCCAAGTTAAAAAATGATCACAACAGAAAATATAAACATTTCCAAAAATAAGCAAAACACTTAAATTATTCATGTATGCAAAAATACGGCCCACCTTTCACACTATTACGAGCTATAAGACACAACACAATTAAAACGTACTTCTCTCTGACGTTCCTCGGAGTGAGTGAACAAGACCTCGTCACGACTTTAAAAATAAAAGAAAATAAACTTAACCTTCAGTTTCTTGTCTTGTCTCTACTTCCTCCGCAGTGACACGTAGCCTAATACACGTGTTCTTTTCCGGCTATCTTGGGGATTTACGCCCACGCCTCCTTCTTCTATCTTTTAGTGGGCATTTATAATCTTTTAAATCTCAGTGCTTTGTTGCAGAGCCTCTATTTACAGGGAAAAGCAGTGAAAATAATGAAGACTTACGTGTTTGACAGATTGTTGTTTTCCTCCCCTCAACACTGCGTTCGAGAACTTTTCCCGAAAGAAAAATAAATTAGGAGTGAAAATTCGTAACTTATTAAATAACATAACAGAGAGGTTTCTGATACTATAGCACATTATTTTTTTCAATAACTTTTATCTAAAGAGGATCATCTATTTTTTAAACAATTAGTATGGGTAGTCGAACTCCATGACGTCATTCTACCATGACGTCATTCCCACCATGACGTCACCGCCAGCATTTGCAGCCATCCGGTCTCATGAAGAGTTTTTAAGAATTTATTAACACCAATTTATTCCCCACGCAGTGGAAAGTGTCACATCAATCCGTCCAGCGCAGAAGACACACGGCACCTCATCCACGCCCGTAGATATCCGCAAACGACAAGAAAAACGCACCAAAGATAGGAATAATATAAATTAAAAAACGTTTTTTTTCACGATTTAATATTACAAGACGCTCGTGACGTGAGGACGAATATCTCAACCCTGTGACTGTGTTATTCATTATTCACGTAGTTCCTCTCAACACACGGCCAAGAAATTCCGTCTCTGGAGGAGGTAAATGTATAATGTGTGCGTGTGAGTTTGAGATTTTGTTGTAATAAGAGGGGAAAAGGTGATTTTGTTGGGCGTGTTGGGTTGACAGAAAAAGGGTGGGAGAATTTTTCTTTTCAGGCAAGCAAGGTGGTAAATGTTCTGGTATTTCGGGCTAAATTTGGTATTTTCAGTTGGGTGTTTTATTGAGGGGAGTTTCTGTGTGTTCATCCCCGTGTCTGTGATTTTGTGTCCTTGTGTCTGCCGAGTTTAGAAGAGGAATTCCTCAGGTAATGGTAACTGTCGCGAAGTAGAGTAGGACAGGATGAACTGTGAGAAAGGTAATGAGAACGCTACAAAGAACACATAAAACAGTTTAGTTAGCTCTAAGACAAATATGGAAAAATTAAAGGTAATTTTCTATATTACGTCCGCATAACCGATATCAACGATTTTGGTATCGTTGGATTCCTCTCACTCTCCACATTGCAAATATATAGTTTTTATTGCGCGGAAACCCCCGTTAGCGACAAACTTGGCCCCGATAGCAGGGGAGGGCATGAAAGGTTCCAGGGAAAATGCGGGGTTAAATAGCACTAATAATATAACGCACAGTGAAAATAACCATGGTTATTCACATAACTTTCCATTGCAGGGGCTGTGCCCCCTGCGACCCCCCTGGGGGGGCTGGCCCCCAACCCCCGCCGAGGAAACAAAACCTCCACCACGTATTCCCGGCAGGCTAGAGCGTTACACAATCATCGTCGATGTCGGAGCGGCGCGTAATATTACAATTACCTCGTAAGATTCCCACTGAATCAGCATATTAACCTTATTATAGTCAGCATTGTATATAGAGACGATTGTAGTATAATCAGGATGAACAGGGTGGCCCGCCCTCGTCGGCGGGTTTTGCGCCTCTTTCGATGTTACACCGATGGCCTCAAGGTCGAGTTTCCCTTCCTCTGGAATAACGACATCCGTATTCCTAACCGAAATAACCGTCGCGTTCAGAAGTCAGTCATAGCCGCCGCGATGGCCGAGTGTGGAGGGTGCTCGTATTCGGAGACGGATTTTCTGCGCGAAATTGCAACTAGCCAGGAAAAAATGCTAGAGATGTGCTTCACCACTCCGTCGGGAGCTGTATCCTCCGGCCTAGGACCTCCTGCCGGACGCACCCTGCCTCCTTAACATTCTGCGGCAAAGGAGCACCCTCCCTACTAATTAGCGGCATTAATCAATCAGGTTAGTACCTTAAAAATCCTAGGTTATTGTAGGTTATCGGCTCCGCATCTAGTTCGTGTGCGCTCTATCCTGCCGTGAATACGTGGTGGAGGTTTTGTTTCCTCGGCGGGGGTTGGGCATGTGAATAACCATGATTATTTTCACTGTGAGGTTATATTATTAGGGTAATTTTATATATTACGTCCGCCGCTCCGACATCGTCGCCCCCGCTATCGGGGCCAAGTTTGTCGCTAACGGGGGGTTTCCGCGCAATAAAACCTACATATTTGCATTGTATAGAGTGAGAGGAATCCAACAATACCAAAATCGTCGATATCGGTCATGCGGACGTAATATAGAAAATTACCAAATTAAAGGTAAGATAAGAATTGCTTACCAAAGTACATGAATCCAATTACTGCAAGTTTTCGCTGCAATACCCAGCGATGACATGACCACCTTGCAGGTGCTCAGGCAAAAGCAAGGATAACCTCCCTGGTGTTTTATTGTTTATTTTATAATGAAACCGTGCACTCACTTGCTGAATACGAGTGAGGAGGATTTGTCAGCCTTTGCTGAAGCACAGTATAGAGTTACCCAGATATTTAGTTAAGTTTCCACCATCCATCTTTTAAAAGGCAAGTGATATATTCAAATAACCAAGAGAATAAATCCAAGATACTTATTTTCTATGTACTTCTGTCACAAATAAAAAATAACACAAATCATTTGACACATAAGAGTCAGAGAGGTTGAAAAACAATATTTATTTGCCGATGAGAAATATGGTAAAGAATATTCATACACATGATCAGGGACATTGATATAGATAATTTATACATTACTGATAAATGTCAGCCAGGCTTAGTTTAGAATAGGATGTTTAGAATGTAAATATAGTTTTACATAAAAAAACAAGGATTAGACAATATGGAAGTTTGTAAGCTTACTATATATAGGTTTTTAGAAATGATATGAGTTTTAGATATAATATGGTATTGGCACAGTATTGCTCCTTTAATTGGCCCCTTCACTGTCAATTTACATAGTGAGTGAGTGAGTAAGTGCATGTGCATTGGTGTGTGTTTGCGTGGTTACAGGTGTGTGTGTGTTTGCATGTTTGTGTTTGTTTGAGTTTTTTTGAGGTTTTGCTAGAGTTTGCGTGTTGGTGTGCATGTGTGAGAGAGTGAGGGAGAGAGAAAGAGAGAGAATAGATGAATGTGGTGGGGGTAGGGAGGGGACGATGATGAATGTTCTGCATATTTTGCCATTTTGCAAAGTTTTTTTTTTGTAGGAAAAATGCAACCATTGTCACTTATTGACAGTTTCAAAAAATTGTTGTATTTTGGTCTAGAATATGCATAATTTTTAATATTTTTAACTTTTGACAGTGTATTTAAATTTAGTTTTGCAGTAAATCATACCATGCAGTATTTATATATGGCTTCTTCACATAGCAGTACAAATGATAGAGATCATGATCTATTTTGCTTTGCTTATTCTCGCCTCAGGATTAGTGTTAGATTTTTATAATGGAAGTACTCTAAATCAAACAGTTATATTAGTAAGACAAGTAAGAAGCTGAAAATAAGCTTATTGTGTATAACAAAGTACATAATTTTCATTAGATGAGTTCTGAAACCCCAGAGAAGAACCCACCCACCCGCCCAGCCCCACCAACGACACTCAGGATGAATACAGAGGCAGCCACGCAGGAGGAAGAGTTCGTGAAAACGTACAGAGAGGCCTACAAATACATCGACCATGGGATCACTCTGGCCACTCAGAACATGCACACTCAGGTCAGTGGTATGGGGTACTTGTTGGGGCTTGATGTGTAGTACTGGAGATTTATTTGTTAATGCTTTTTTTCTTTCTTTCTTTCTTTCCTTCTTTCTTTCTTTCTTTCTTTTTCTTTTTCTCTTTCTTTTTCTTTTTCTTTTTTGTTTTTTCTCTTTTATTTTTTCTTTCTTTCTTCTCTCCTTTGTTAATTCTATATTTCTAATATATTGAATGGATATATGCAGAATTTTGTTGACTTTAATTTGTTTGTTTTATTCTGATTTTCATATATCCTTCTTTTTCTTCTTTTTTTTCTTCTTTTTTTATGTTGATGTCAAATTGAATTTATTTTGTAAGTCAAAAGGATAAGAAGGCCAAGATCTGTTCATGACAATAACTCCAGATGTGTGAATTTAATCCCAACATGATGAGACCAAAGGAGACTGTTTTATTTTTTTTTTTTTCTTTTCTTTCTTTTTTTTCCCTTATCTTTTCTTTTTATTTTTTCTTGTTTTTCTATTTTGGTTGTGGGGTACATGTTTACATTTTAGATCCTCTCAATTCCTAGTAGATTCCAGATCTGTGCTCTCTCTTTGAATTGGACAGGCATGACCTAAAGAAGCGGTGTCAAATATGCAACCTGGGAGCTATTGAAGACCTGCCATACTCTTGAATGTGTCCTGTGACCCATTTGCTGCTCCAGCTATACTCTGTTTTACATGATTTTAGTGGTCTTTTACCTTATAGGAATATTGCTTATATTTCTAATGACAAGTCAATTTAAGCAGTCTGACAAGGAGAAAGGAAAAGTGCTGTGTCCTGAGATTATCTGTCCATTATCTTTCTTAAATATCTTTTATTGAGCATGACGATAGGCTAAATCTCCCTTCCCTATTTTTGCCATAGTTCTCCCTTCAGAGGTTATCTCATACATAGTTACTGTGTGATGATATGTGCCACATGCTGTGTAATTATGTTGGGTTAAT